AATATTCTAATAAAGTATTATAAAAAAATACTAACATATTCTTCATTTTTACTCTAAAAATATACTAATTTAGTCTATTTATTTTAATTAGAGTTTATTTAAATAATATAGTTTTGAAATAATTTTTTCATAATTTTTTCTTGATCCGACTTATTAACATTTTTCCTATTATTTTGTATTATTTGTTTAAGGTCTAAAATCGTATGCTATTCAAAAATAATTAAATGTATTTAATTAATTTAAAGTTTGATATATATGCTATAAATATTACATTTACTCATAAAATTAGTGATTAATATAAAATTAATATAATTTTTTTATGTGAAAATTATGGATTAAACTCAAAACCTATCACTAATAGTATGTTCAAATTAAGGAGAGTGGATGGGAGGGGCGAAATCTTCCCTTTACTTTATTTGTTCTTTTAATTTAGTTATTCATTCAAATGAAGGAAAAGGAAGGGAAGGGAAGGGAAGGGGAGAGGAGGGGAAAATTTCTCCTCCCCCCCCCCCTTCACGTAAAAGTCTGGCTCCGTCCCTAGCTGTGGGTACTAACTCTCAGTCAAGTACTTAAGTACTTAAAAAATTAAAAAATTAACTTGAGCAGGTATGAAAAATATTAAATATCAAAAGAGAGTATTAAGTATTAAATCCAATAAAAAGTAACAGGCAAAAACCTACTTTTTAGCCTTTTACTTTAATAAGTTTGTAGGTTTTAACCCATCACCTTATACTATAACGCTTTTAGCCCCTCACCTATACGAATTGAAGAAAATAACCCTTATTTAATGTCATATTAGCTTATTGTTAGTTTTGTTAGCTAATTGTTAGTTTTGTTAGTTGATTGTTAGCTCTGTTAGCTAATTGTTAGTATTTCATTATAGAAAACATGAAATTTGTAGGTTTTAACCCATCGCCTTATGCTATGACACTTTTAGCCCCTCACCTATATGAATTGAAGAAAATAGCCCTTATTTAATATCATGTTAGCTAACTGTTAATTCTGTTAGTTGACTGTTAACTCTATTAACTAAGTGTTAGTTCTGTTAGCTGACTGTTAACTCTGTTAGCTGATTGTTAGCTCTGTTAGCTGATTGTTAGCTCTGTTAGCTAACTGTTAGCATTCCATTATAGAAAACATGAAATTTAAATTCAATTTTATTTGTTAGTTTCATTAACAGAATGCTAACAATCAGCTAATTGAGTTAATAGTCAGCTAATAGAACTAATAATCAACTAACAGAACTAACAATTAACTAATAGAACTAACAAAACATTATAACCTGACATTAAGTAAAGGCTATTTTTTTGCAATTCGTATAAGTGAGGGGCTAAAAGCGTCATAATATAAGGTAATAGGCTAAAACCTACAAACTTATTAAGGTAAAGGGCTAAAGGTAGGCTTTTGCCAAAAGTAACAAGTATATGTATAAGGGTCTAGACAATTGTTTACTTGGCCTGTCACCCATATTTGTATAATTAAAATGTTGTATGAATGTGTATAACTAAATTAGTACTCAAATAATAATTAGTTATGTTCGGGCATGTCCTACAAGCTAATTTGTTGGATTAAACATTTGTAATTTTTTTTTTATGAACCTTAAATATCAATAAAATTGTTAAAACATTTGACTGTGCTGAAGGGAACAAAGGTAAGCTTCTGTTAGTGAGCATCTTATGGTTAAAAATTGTACAAGGGTGGTGAACAAATCAAGAAAGGATTTGTCACTCGAAGATCATGAGAGAAGATATGTTTAACCTTTTAATCAAGATGAGATTGCTTCAATTTATGGCAACAACAAAGTGAAACATTCATTCAAAAGGTTAGTTTATTTCCTCATAAAGGAGGTTAGTCTATCTCTAGTGGTAAAAGAAAATAAGATTGAGCATTAGTGATGATGATACTATATGCATCGTGCTTGATTAATATATTGATTGACAAAAAGATTGAATTACACGAAATTAGTCATACAAAAGTTTGTGAGAGCAGCATATGGACTTCATGGCTCGAAGGATATAGACATTATCATAAAGTGCATCCCCCCAATCATAGGGTTGGGGTTCAAATCCCACCCCCCCAAAAATTGTAATTTGTTAAAAAAAAAAAAAGTTTGTGAAGGCAAACTTCTCTTCTATCCTAGGCACATATAAGGAGGAAGAGGAAGAAAAATTTCTTCTTCTAAACACAACCCTTTCCACACAACACAAGAAACATGAGCATAAATTTTCTTCCTAATTTTGAATCATATCCTTGAAAAGGAGTTGTTTTAAATTCACCAAAGTTAGCACCCAATTTTGAACCTCTTAATCCCTAAAACAATGTGTGTGGATTTCTATTGGGGGCCTTTTACTAGAGGTGTTTGCAATGTGGTTTGGTTCGGGTTTTAATATTTTTCAAATTAATTTAATTTAATCGGTTAGTAAAATTTTTAAACCAATCCAATCCATTATTATATATGATAACCAAATCAGTCTAACTTAAATCGGATTAATGTGGTTCGGTCAAATTGATCGATTTTTAACACTATTAAATATATAAGATAACGTAAAAAATTTTAATATCGAATAGAAAATATAACTATAAAATACATTAACATTCAAATTAGTAAAAACATAATAAAAGATATAAATTATAAAAAAATTCTTATACTCTTTTACAATTATAAAAATTGAAAAGATCTAGAAATGTTTCTTGACTACATTACTAGAGACGCCAAGAATAATAGAAAATAATTCTATGTTTCAAGTATAGTGTAAGTAATTCTTATATGTTAAAACTAGTTTTTTTTCTTTTCTTTTATGCACCAATGGTTCAATCCCATCTTCCAAACCCTATTAAAAGCGAATAAAATTTAATATGAATATTACTAGGATTGATTAGAAACATTCATAATCAATATTTAAAACTCCTCAACCAAACATCCAAGAATAGTAAAATATCAAGACTAGTTTTATTATGTAATTTTAAGACTTCTAAATAAATACTTCTTTAAAACTTAGTTAGAAGAATCAAAATATCATTTTAGGAATAAATTAGAATTTAGGATTCTAAGAGTAGAGTTGTAAATCAGGTTTGAGGGGTAGAGTTACAGGTGAATTAAAAATTTAGAATTAGGGTTAGGGTGCATGATTAAGAAGGAAAACAAATTAGGGAATATGGGAATATTTTATTTTTATTTTTTAATTAAGTTAATGAAGTTATTATATTGTAAAACAAGAAAAAGAATATTATATTATTTAATTAAGTTATCTTGTAATCGAATTTTATTTAGTAATCAAACAGTTCAGGTGATTTGAAGGTTGAATCATAAATTAAACCAATTATATCAATTTTAAAATTTTATAATTCAAATTGTTAACACTAAAAAATAGAAAACATGGTGTGGAACCAAGAACTTTATTGATAAAGAGTAGAGAGAGTTTACAATGGAGAGAAAGTAGAGAAAAATAATCTCTCTTCTTACGTTGATTCTTGAGGTATTTATAAGATATTTACATAAAGTTATCCTAAGAATACAACTCTATTTAATTGGTACTTGGGTATTTTAATTCTAGTTAGAGTTAACCTATTTAATCTTGATAGGTCTATTTTTAGGATGTCTCTATGTGTCTTAATTCTCATAAAACTCAATTTACGGTATAACATTTGCCCCCCAATCGGAAAAGTTTGAGGGTAACAAAAACTTGTTGAGTAGCTTGACTCCAAATTTTGCATAGCTTTTTCATATCTTTGCCTTTAAAAGGTTCCATCTTATTATGACAAAGATTTTGTGACCATGGATGCCTCGTTAAAAACCTTAGCTAGTAAAAAAAAAAAACCCTATAGGATAAAAACCTAGCTTAAAGAAAAAAGAGTACAGCATAAGTTTTTCGTTATGTTCACAACTTTCGGTATGCTTTCTGTCAATCTTCTATATGCTGTGCAGGTATCTTGATTTCTTTATTTGTATTTTCTTCAAGATTTCTTTGCTAGTGTAGTCATTTCCTTTTTCCAGCTTTTACATGTGTCCAACCCCTATTTGTGGTTGGTACCAAGATGGACCAACTTGCGGGATTTCTTGAGATTTCTCCATTTGGCTTAAAAGGCTGAATTTTAAAATGTGAGTTTTTGATAAGGCATTCTCAAACTTTCTACCCCTTTCTTTATAAAAGTCTTTATCTTTTCTCCTTCTTTTTTACGGTAACTTTCTTCTTTTTCTCTATTAATTTGTCTGATCTTTTCACCTTCTTTTTCTTGCTTACTGTTTTTCGATTTAGCCCTTTCTTCTCCATCTCCATCTTTTTGTGTTTACTTTTTTATTTTATTTCTATTTGGTTCCTCCAATTT